TAGCATTAAAACTTAAGACATCCACTTATTTTTGTGTCATCATGATTAGGGACCTCCCGGAGAACCTGGTCAACCTGGACCTCCTGGACCTCCTGGACCTCCCACTGCAGCTTTGGAAGATCTGTTTGGTGGGCCTCAAGATTATGATGCTGGTCCTCCTCCCCCAGAGTTCAATGAGGATGAGGCTCTTCCCAAGAGTAACTCAACAAGCGTGTTCCAAGCTGATCCTGGAGTTCAGGCTACTTTGAAGGCTCTGAACAACCAGATTGACAGCATGCGTAGCCCTGATGGTAGTAGAAAGCATCCTGCCAGAACTTGTGAGGACTTGAGACAATGCTACCCTCAAAAAAAGAGTGGTAAGTTAAATTTAGGGTATTGCACAAGCAGGTAATTCATTATAACCAACTGTACGAAGTAGGCCACTGACAAATCAGTATCCTAACAGCCCTGATGGTAGTAGAAAGCATCCTGCCAGAACTTGTGAGGACTTGAGACAATGCTACCCTCAAAAAAAGAGTGGTAAGTAAAATTTAGGGTATTGCACAAGCAGGTAATTCATTATAACCAACTGTACGAAGTAGGCCACTGACAAATCAGTATCCTAAATGTACCAATTCAAGCTCATTGGAAAAAAACGTTTATGAAAAATTATATTACGTTTATAGCTTGCATGTTTCGTGACAATTTTAAAGTGAAATGTCTAGTGAGTGGCACTAAAAACAGTTTTATCCAATTTATCCAAACAGACTTCTGAAAGGAAATCTCTGGGGAGTGGCGCTAAAAGGTTAATGAAAATAATGTACCACCTATATAATCCTTACCGTAAACCTATGCAATAGTGTTAACGAAAGCAAATGGGAGATAAAAATAAATTTGCTGAAGCAACCATGGCATTTGAGTGTGCTTCTACAAGTGTTTGAGGTCTTTTATAGTGACTAATTTTTCATTGGACTCACTCTTGAATGCTCCGCATTGCAAGTGCAATGTACCAGGTGAGCTACCAAGCAAGTTTACTACATCAGAAAAGCTTTAGATATGGAGCTGATTATTTAAGGCAAACATCAAAATGTATTAGTTTACAAATCATGCACTATGGTAAAAAATGTTTGAGGTCACAACATAGTATTGTGCAAGAAGCCACATGAAAATAAGTCTTTATTAATCAATAATCTACTACTGTAATCAGAATTTGTGTGAACAGGAATAAAAGTTGTTGTTTTACTATTCATTTCAGCTGGAAACTGCAGTGCATTATATGTACAGGAACGTTTTTGGAGTTTTACAAAAATGTAGGCAGAGGCACGTCTTTTCAATGAGCTTAGGTTGACATACAGTCAGATATATTGAATTACATTTAAACACTTACTGTATATTATATATGGGAGAGGAATAGATGAGACATGCACAGAGTCTTGCTATTCTAACATTGTCGTTGTGGCTTTGTACCTTAGTATCTGCTATTTTAATAAGAACCAAAACTATTTCCCAGAATATTAATAGTTGAAATCAAACAAATTTAAATGTTTCATCCCTACATCATAGGTGAATACTGGGTGGATCCAAACCAGGGCAGTGCAGAGGATGCCATTAAAATTCATTGCAATATGGACACTGGAGAGACATGCATCTCCGCAATACCCTCCAGCATCCCCCGGAAGTCATGGTGGAGTTCCCCAGGAAGTAAACCTGTGTGGTTTGGAGCCAATATGAATGGAGGAACATATGTAAGCATGTTGAGGAACTCTTAAGAAAATAATTTTGTTTAATCATATAAATTGTGTGAGCTCAGTTAGTACTACAATACTTAGAATACAAAATAACTTAGTATGGCATTGAGTAACAGACTTATCTATCACATAAAACTGTATGTGCCTATTATTTATTTTGTTTTGTATCTTTGTTAAGTTCACTTATGGGAATAAAGACCAGCCGGCCAACACTGTCACAGTTCAGATGACTTTCATCCGTCTGCTCTCCAAAGAGGCATCACAAACCATCACTTACCACTGCAAGAACACTGTGGGCTACAAGGATGAATCAACTGGAAACCTCAAGAAAGCAGTCATCCTCAAAGCTTCAAATGATCTTGAGCTCAAAGCTGAGGGAAATAACCGCTTTAGATACACTGTCCTTGAGGACAGCTGCTCAGTAAGTACCCCGCAATACATCATTTGTATAAAGGCACAAGCCTTGTTTCAAAACCTATTGATCTGTCTTGCTCTCTACTGCCTACATTTTTTAAGGAAGCTTAACTCAAAATGTAACCTTATAAGTGAGGATCAGATTTGGAACACTCTGCATGGAAAGCAACCTTGTGCATCAATACAAACAGCACTAGTTTATTTTAGAATGTTGCTAAGCTAACAACACTATACTATGCATAAAAATACACAGTACAAACTTTTTGTAATTTATTTATACGTTATCAGCATCTCTCTCACTTTACTGTCCCTGTGCAGTAGTGACAGTCTTGTCCATAAATGATTTATGTAATTCTGCTCTAGAATTCATCCAAAATTAGGTATCTTACAGCTTACCTTGTGAAACAGTCTTCATGTTGGGAGCATACATATGATGCAGTCTATGCAGACAGCTCTCTAGGTTTTAGAACAGAGCCAAAAGGGGGGATTTAAGTTAGATTTAACACACATACACATACAGTATCAGTAGTCCATAAGATATTACAAGTGCCCCCATACAAACCTAAATGGATGTCTTTCTCTTCACAGCAAGCAAATGGTAGGTGGGGCAAGACAGTGTTTGAATACAGGACGCAGAAAACAGCAAGACTACCTATTGTGGATATTGCACCTGTGGACATTGGAGGTTCAGATCAGGAGTTTGGCATTGATATTGGGCCTGTGTGCTTCTTGTGAATCAAGGAGTAGCCATGCATTGAAGAGATTCCGGAGACTCTTAAAGTGACTGCTGACAAGATCAGCCTTGTACATACAGAGCATGGGACTTTTCTGGCCCTGTAGTGAAATATTTATTGTGCCTTCCAAGCGTTTCAAGAAAACAACCGCTCCATAAGTTTTTTACAGATTGATCCCTTGAAATTAGAAATTCAATTTAACTGAATTTTTATACTACAAGACTATTCATCAACTGCTGTTTTAAATTGAGATGGCCGTTGCAAATAACACCATAATGATGTTACACACTGTACCAACACTTAAAACGATTTGGATTTGCCTGTTTTCCTTACAGTATGTTTAATGTATTATTATTTTTTACACAAAAATGGTGCTATAGAGGAAGTTTGCATTCAGTTGAGTGTATTTTGACTCCTAAACCTGTACTCTTGTAGATTCACTTTGTAATTACTTTCAAACCTAACTTACAATTAAAGATGAAAACAGTGATTCATTAGTGCAAGCTACCTCGTTTCTATAAACCGGCAAAAGCTGACAACAGACTTGCTGTACGTGAATCCTGATAAAGAGCTGTACGACTGATTGTATTTCTCTCATCAAAAGGTACAATACAGAGTAAGGAAATGCAAATAAAATGAAATGCATCTGAGACTCTTAATTGCTAAAAGGTGCATTATTATTTCTCTTTCCCAAAATGAGAACCAAGGGCAATGCAGTTTTTTTTTTTTGTCCATTAGGTCTACATTTTAAATGCTTTTGTAAAGGTAAAAGGCACAATGTAGTAAAATAAAATGCTGGTGCAATTAAATTAGATGCAGTATTGACAATTTTTACGATGTCATATTTTCTAAAGCATGCAGGTATACTTATCATTCTTGCACTTTTTCTTCTTTTATTATTATTATTATTTGATCCTATTTTAGAACTCTTTTAAGCCATTTGGTATGGATTTGAAACTAATCTCATGTATTTGCTTGCAAATTAAACATATCCTCAGTAACATTTATCATTTTATTGAATCAATCAAAACAATATTTCTTCTTTTTTTCTTAAATTTTGAAGATACTTGTTTCTTTCCTCACCTTTTAAGCGTGAAAATATATTTTTAATTAATAAAAATGTATGATATTGCTTTGCTTCATTATATCCTCTGTAAGTTGCTAGAGTGATTTATGCAATTTTGTTAAAACCTGTCGGAATGTTTTTTATTATTCTTCTTTTTAAAATTATTTTTATGCTTTGAGTAAACAGTAAGAAATGGCAGGGATAATATTAGTTTAAAATATTTTTAAAATGGTTTTAACAAATATTGTTAAAATATGGTCCTTTCTGTATGTTAAAAAAATATTTGACTAAAATAATTGTCAAATATGATCAGAACTGTAAACACCTATAGGGAAGACTGCTCATTATATTGCTTGTTATACTAGTATTTTGGGGGAATCATAAAAATGGGTATTTACTGAACAAAAAGTGTGCTTTTATGAATCCTGTTTGAATGTTATATTATTATGCCTTGCATACATGTTCCTCAGACAGGCTTTCTACAAGTTTCTACAACAATTGCACTGATTGAAATATGACACATCTAGGTGCAGCACTACTATGAACGGAAAAACACTTTTGTTGAACATACAAAGGATGGGAAAGAGCAGCTACCAGAGCAGTGATGGAAGAAGAATGAAGTAACGCACACCAAGTTGCGGTGCTCTTCAGAAAGACACACTTATGAACAGTACACAGAAGATTACATGATTGAGCCAAATTAGATTCTGAACCATCATTATGAAATATAGCGTGAAAAACAAACATTTTAAGCTTTTATACTAATTTTAAGAGTAAATTTAAAAACGTTTAATTTAATGGTAGATGAATGGTACTCAAGTACATAATGACCATTTTACTGTAATATTACTATCTCTTGACATTGTATTTTCAATACATTATCTGCGACTTGAAATAAATGACTTAAACACTACAGCATGTGCGTGAAGACTTGTTGAGCCAAAAAATAAATACAATTCATACAAGGTCTCTTATTTAATGCAAGTAAAGGTCTAAGAAAGACATGTTACAAAAGATGACTTACACAGAGAATATGTACCGTTTTCTTTTAATGACTACAACAGCAAAGGCTAAAATAATACTGAATTAACAATAATACATGAACAAAGCTCTTTCAAAGTGCTTCTTTGTGCAAGAGTATACTAAAATATATAATATAAAATTAAGCTGCAATACAAGTACATGTTAATGCGGAAATAGTCCAGTCCTACAATTTAACTGCTGTTCAGTTAAAAAATACTGTATTTTAATGTATCCATTGCTATTAACAAAACAATATCATAATTGTACAAGAGATTTGATACAAAAGGAATGTTATGATGTATGGTACCGCATTGTGTTAAAAATAAAGTTAAAAAATAATGTAAAGGGAACTCTCCATAATGATAACGTTGTATGTGTTTATGATTTTTAATATGCCAAACAGATTAAAAACAGTAGCTTGTATGTGTAAAATAAGCTTCAAGAATTTGCCTTTGAACAGTTATGAAACTTCGACACAGACTGTGCAATTGGGCATACTTCCTACATCCTTCGTTGCCTGTACAAGCAAGGGGTGTTAAAACTACAGTACTAGTTGTTGTTTTTTTAGTTCTTACAAAAATATTGATCTACTGCTTCAGATTTCTCAATATACTTTTTGTATAATGCAAATACATAAAAATGTAAGGTAAGACATTGACATCTTGACTGTAAACCCGAGTTTGGCACTTTAATACAAATGGTTTAACATGAAAGTGACAAAACTTTCTTCTTGGCATCAGCAGCGACCTTCTAGTGGATCAAGGGAAAAGACAGTGCCCTCTACTGTTAGTCCCATTTTGAACCCCTCCTGGAGAGGAAAAAAAAAATACAAACACTATTAGAATGAATCCTTTAAACAGTGAAATGCATGCAAGTTTATTTCAAATAATACGCAACCACATTCTACATTTATACAAAACTGTTTAATAAGTAAAAGGTCTTTTTTTAAGCAGGGCATGCGGCAGAAGAAAATTACAGGGCTTAAAGTAAGTGTAAATTATTTATCTTAGAGACATTTACAGGGATAGTTCATCTAAAAATGAAAATGTTTTCATCATTTAATCACCATCACGTTCCCATGGAACACAAATGGAGACATTTAGCCATACAATGAAAGTGAATGGCGACCAGGGGCCATAAAGCTCCAGCATGATATAAGATTTGTGCATAATATTCAAAGTTTTATGACATAACAGATTGAAATTTAACCCATGATTCAATGGAAATCATCTGCCATAGTTCTCAAATCTCATTTAGGCGATTTGAATATGTGCATATTTGCATGTTGTCAATAACAACTGATTCAAAAGTTTGTACCTCAAATGAAACTTCTGCATGGCTTTAGAAACTTTAGAAGTCTTGAAATATTGTGCACAAGTCTATGCACACAGTTTGTGGAAATCAGTCACCATTTATTTTCAATGTATCCATAAGAGAAGTATAAATGAGAGACAGAATTTTCATTTTTGGATAAACTATCCCTATAAAACAGTTAGGCATGCCAAATTAGACCTATATGTCATCTGAAAAAAATCTAATTTCCTTAAAATACAAACCATCTTTGCCGCTGCAAGCAGAAAGAGAGCAAAAAGACAGAAAATTGAGGTTGTTAGTTAAGCAAAACTGGAAAATGATATAAATATTTCAAGTAACTGCTCTGTATGCAAAATTTACTGCATGTTAGTCTATTTTAATCAGGTTGAATGCATACGTAAAAAGCAAACTTAGCAGTTCTCTTGAAAGTTTTCCATCTACAAACAGTATAGCACTCTCAAGCCAAATCCAAAATGAACATAAAACCAAATATAATCATCATATTATTCCCTTCTGTACTGAGAGAGTCTTCACAGCTGCAGCAGTTCCTACCATCAGCTCCATTAGCTGCTCATTTACACCAGTCCATTTGCTAATAATTCACAGACATGCAATCACCTGCATTTCATCCAGCTTGGACTGGATGTCAGGAGGAAAGTCAGCTGCCCCACAGGTGAAAGGGTCAAATGGCTCTGCACCAAACAGGTCTCTGCCTGAAGAAGAAAAGGGCAGTCTTTTCCCCCTTTATTTTACAGGCCACTGAAGCTAAAATCCATAATATATAAGCCTATGCAAACTGATCTTTTGGCCGAATGAGCCAACATTTCTTTTGGTAAAGAAAAAGGGGAAAAGTAGGCAACTTACTAATCTCCGTAGGCCTTGCAGGGGGTGGAGGGGCCGAGCCATTACTTGCTGGTAATGGAACCAATGGGGTCATTGGAGAAAATGGAACCATGTCAAATATGTCAGTGGGCGTCTTCGAGGACATGCTGCTTCCCTGCAAATGTGAATTATGCGTGAACTACATGAGCAATGTGAAGAATCACTCACTTAAAAACCATTATCATATATTAAAACTTAAGAATAAAGTGCATATTAGAGTATATTACATTATACCACATTATACAACATACTATTTATTTATAACACTGAAGTCAACACGAAATCAAAATAGCCCCAATTCACAAATGTTTTTGTGAAAGCTTCATTGTGTGCTTTGAATGAATGAATGAATGAATGACGCTATTCACATTAAAAGTGTTTTTGTGTGTTTCATTGTGTGCATTATTCCAAAAAATAAATTAATAATTACATTTGTATTTTTTAATCAGTGAGTCAAAAAATATCTTTAATAAAAACATAAATAAAATATAATAAAATAAATAAAAATGGACCCGATTTACATTCCAAGTGTTTTTGTGCATGAGTGAATGAATGAAATGAATGAATGAATCTTGACCCATTCACATTCTTGGTGTTTTTGTGTTTTGTTGTATGCATTATTCCATTATATATAAATCAATAATTACATATGTATTTCTTAATCAGCGAGTCATAAAAATATATATTTTTAATAAGAACATTTAAAAAAATAAAATATATACCAGCCTTAAAAAAGAAAATTCAAAATAAATAAAATAATTCTCAACTCAGAGAATTAAAGTTGAATTTAATTGATTCAGTTGAATTAAAGCTCAACTTCTGAACTAAATTTACTACTTCGCTGATTCTATGAATTCCATTTTCTCAACCTTTTCGTGATCCAATCAACTTCCAAATGATAAAAAGCCCTACCTTTCCCCCTTGCTAAATATCACAATTTCATTTGGAAATATTTCAAATTACAGAAGTAAAATGACAAAATTCATGACCACTTAATGCTGGTTCACACTGCCCCAAACAAACACCAACAGGGTGAACACACCGATCCAACAAAACCCATCAACCGCTGGAATCTAGTGTACGCATTTGTTGGGGCAGTGTGAACTAGCCTTTAAAATCTGAGGGCAAAACTTAGCGAAAACAACCAATACCACAAAGAGAGAAAGTGTAAACAGAAAAGTGCTTAACAGGAGGGTGAGGAACACTGGCTCCACTGGGAGACTTTGACAAAGCTGGTTTAGCAGGTGGAGGAGTCAGAAGACCAGCAGAAAGGTTAGAGTCAGGTGAGCTCATTGGCGTTAGTGTAACAGAAGAAATTTCGAGGCACGAGAATGAAGTCACGTTGTGACCCCAGAAGAGAGATGAGGGTCTCTGAAGCATATAGGCATCATTAGAAGAGTTAATGTGAAGAAGCTGTGGAAAGATCAGAACTAGTCAGCACTAGTGTTCTAGTTTCACTGTATGTTTTTTTTTCTTAAAAAAGGAAAAGCTCATGAGTTTAGAAGAGGTCTTTTTAGGCATAGCTGATATCTGTTTTGCATGCAGCTAATTAACAGAATGGTGAACGGCAATTAGGTGCACTCTACTGAGAGGAAGTCCACGCAGTGCTTACAGGAGGAACTTGAGCAATCATCAGCTGTTCCTCTAAGACTTGCAACTGCTTCTTCAACTCGGAATTTTCAGCTTCAAGATCTTGAATCTATAAAGACAGACATTTATTTGTCATAAATGATTTGAGTTATTGCTTTGTGTTCTCTAACTGCAGTTGTATATCATACTCACTCTTTTCTGTAGGCCACCTATCTGTTTCCTCGTCTCTACGTCTTTTCCCCCGGACTCCAGAAACTTCTTGTATGCCAAGTCAAACGCTTGGCCGATGGTCAAAGTTATCTCTTCTGCCTGGAATCGACAGATACATGACAGATCATATTCCTAGTAACATCATCAGCAGTGTTTTGTTTGGCCATTTGTCTTCTGAGCCACATTTAAGTATCCTTTAAATGTAAAAGTTCTAAAACAATATGTAAGAATGACAAATCATTTCTTTAAAAAAAGATTAATATGACATCTGCTGTCTTACACATTTTTCACTGTCAAACACATAGCAGAGATGTTTGTTGGACTCTGAATCTTTACAAATGAATGTGAATATCCTTTTGTCTGTCTTATCATCTGCACAGAAGGATATCCGGTGCAACTGACAGTTGTACTGTACTTCCTGTGACGAAGAAAACAAGATAAGAGACAATATAGACAAAATATAGGGTCTTTAAACAGAGATGGGCATACAGTGGCACCAAAAAGTACTTGGACACACTTAAAAAATATATATTTTTAGACTAAACAACAAAATATCCTATAGTCTTTTTTGGCAAATATAGATAAAGTCAGTTCCCCTCAGGCTCACACACTTCAACAACCAGAAATTGTCCAAATACTTTTTTTATAGGGCCTTTACAGCTCCTCAGCTGGCTTCTACTTAAACAACATGGCTCATGTGAGACACAATTGGTTTCATAAATCTGTTAGGCTATATTCACATACTTTTGATTTAGGATCTAATATTTTTACTCCGTAGATGGAGATCTGTAATTCCACTTTTGGGATCTTCTGTCCCTCTGACTTCTTAATGTGTTTCTGAAACTTTCGAGAGCGAGAGAGAGAGAGAGAGAGAGAGAGAGAGAGAGAGAGAGAGAGAGAGAGAGAAAGGG